CCCAGCACCAGGCAGCCACTGGGGCTGACAGAGCTGGTGCTGCCAGAGCTGAGCAGCTCCGTCTGGAGCTGGGACGTGGATGTACGGCCCCTAGGAATGGCACCCATCTGCTTGTCACCCCCGGGGTCTCACAGCACTGACCTCTCTCCAGCACCAGCGGGGCGTTGGGTCCCACCAGCATGGCGATGGCACCGGCACCTCCCGTGGGCCTCGCGTTCCCTGTGGCGTAGACGGCCAAGTCCCCGCACACCACCACGGCGTAGCGACCTGGGGGAGGACAGGGGGGCCAGTGGGGCCATCAGAGGGTGGGAGCCTCCATCCTGCAGCCCTCGCACATCCCCATCCCCACGCTGCTGGGTGTGACGGCCAAGGCAAGTGAGAAACGGGGGTGATGGAGAGCCTGGAGGGGCAGCAGCTCCCTTTAAGGCTTGCTGGAGCATCTTTGGGTTTCAGGCCACCTCCTGCCTCCTTCCCCCATCCCACAGCACCCACCCCACGTCCAGGCCCCCCATCCCCACGGCACAGTCCCTGCCCTCACCCACCATCCCAGGCGCTGGACTCCACCCAGGCAGCCGCGTTGAAGAGCGAGGCCGTGCCCCCGTAGCAGGCGTTGGTGGTGTCGATGCCCTCCACGTCAGTGTTGCCCGAGTCATGGAAAAGCTGCATGAGGACAGTCTTGACGGCCTTGGACTTGTCGATGACTGTCTCGGTGCCCACCTCCAGGCGGCCGATGGCGTCCCAGGAGAGGCGCCCGCGCTCCACCAGCCGCTGCACCACCGTCAGGCACAGGGAGTTGATGTCCTCATGAGCGGCGCAAAAGCCCATCTGCTGCTGGCCCAAGCCCCGCGTATACTTGCCGGCCTCCACGCCGTCATACCGCTCCAGCTCCTCCTGCTCCACGTACTGGGCGGGGAAGTACACCTCCAGCGCCAGGATGCCCACATCCTTGGGCCAGGTGCCCATCCCAGCAGTGCTGGAGAGGCTGCGGGGCAGAGGGAGTGGCAACGGTCCCACGTGGCAGCCCTGAGCCTTGGGGACAAGTGGTGGCCCCTGGGGAGATGCCACCAGCAAGCACCCCAGGCTGTGAGCACCCCAAATCCCTGCTGGTTCCCTGTGCCTGGTTGCACCACGGGGAGGAGAGAGACCATCCCCTTCCCCAGCAAGGTTTAAGAGCACTGCCAGCTTCCCCTTGGTTATGCCTCCATCCCCCCCAATCCCCATGGGTGCTCACCATGCCCTCTGCACAGCCATGGGGTGCTGGGCCCCCCAGGGTGCCCGCTCCGTCCTCGGCGGTGCCCGCCTGGCCCCCCAGCAGCACGCAGCACGGCCGACCAAGCGCAGCATCTTCGCTCCTGTTGCTGCACGAACAGAGGGAC